TGATGGGAGTGTCTGAATAACAGAGTTTGGGACTCTAAAGATCACACATTTGAATACTACAACCAAGATAAATATGAAGAAACGATTTATGTTCAAAGTTTGTAGTCCACTTCTAAACTAGAAGCCAATAGTGCACAAACTAAACCAAAAAAAGCAATCCTTGGTTCTCAGGGATTGAGAACTCAATACTAGTACTCAATACTAATACTCTCAGATATGAGAGTATGAACAAAATATAATAATTTCTTAAGTTTTTCCTTTGTTCCCTGGACTTTGATAATAATATTAAAGACCTCAGAGGGTTCGCTAGAGATTTGAGTACACAATTCTCCTAAAATAAAATATGTATCTTTCAAAAACACAATATCATGTCTATGTCTGCTCTTCCATTTTATTTATTTATTTATTTATTTATTTATTCTTACTTTTTTTTTTTTTTTTTTTTTTTTTTTTTGTGAGAAGTTATAACACCCCAGTAACATTTTCCAGCCCTGGTCAATCTCTAAACGATTGCATGCACACTTTTTCCCATTTCTCATGTCTTTTTATACAGTATAATATGAAGAGATTTGAAAACATAATGAATAATTCATTTTGAGTTAAAGTTTGGGATTTCAGAACTCAGTTTTTCCTCTTGATTGAAGTTATTGAACAATCCCTATTTTCTTTTCTTTTTTCTTGTTTTTATTTTTATGTTGGTAAAAAAGTTGAACAAAAATGAACTGTGTATGACATTAAGGAATATTTTTGAGACTTGTGGCAGGTTACAAAGATAGTAAGTTCATATCTAATTTTCTTTTAGTAACCAATAGGCTTTTGTGCCATACATTTAATATCATATTTTCAGAGATGATCTAATAACTTGTTGCCAGGCAAAATTTCCCTACTAAGCTAGGTATAATTTACTGTATAGTTTTGGTAACATTCTGAGACAGGAGCATAATTAGATAGGCAGAATATAAAAAGAAAATAAATAAAGAATTAGGAAAAAATGAATCAAGAAAATTGCATGCATGGTAAAACTTCTGTGATTATTATGAAATACATGTTGTCATTATCTGCTTGCTTCTTGAACCTTACCTGTATGAAAGTTTGGTTACAGAAGGTATCTCTTACAAATGTTCTCTGGGTATTGTTTCATTGTTGTTCCCTTCATAGATGTGACATGCAAAAGGTTTTAGCATTTTGGTTGCCTATTTTTTTTTTTTTTTTGCTATATTACATCTTTAAAAAATCAGTAGAGTACATTACTTGTAAGACCATTTTTAGAATAATTAACTGGTTCCAAAGGGAGAGGTTTGGCACTCAGAAAAAAAAAAAAAGTGTCCAAATCACTGCTGTTTGGCTTAATGTTTAGGTTTTTGATTTGTAATAATAATAATAAAAAAACTGAAGCCAATGGTTGGATTCTAATACCAAAGAGAGACTAAATCACACAAGAAAAATTTAAGAATAGAGACTTTGTTAATATCAAGGCTGAGATTTTTAAAAATGCTAACAATCTAGAATTTTATTCCAGAAAGGAGAAAATACAATAGCTAGATAACAGCATGCCAATTAAAATATAAAATTTGTGCCTACAGTTAGACGCTCATGTCATGCGATTATTTTGATTCAAAAGTATTGAGGGAAGCCTTGTCTCTTTCTGTGCCACTTATCTATTTATTGCCTCTCAGTTCCAAATTCATCTTTCATTCACTGCTATGCAAAAATGTGATCTGGGTCCTTTAACTATGTTTTCTTTACCAGCTGGCATGATGGTAACTGTTGTCAGTGGAGGTTACCTTAGTAACCTCTGCCTTTTTCTGGAACCCTAAGGATTTACAGTAAGTTCTAGAGGGCGGATTTTCAGAAGTCCAGTCAGTGAGCACCCCAACAACTTATTGCCATTCTGTGAGCCACTACTTTGCCCTCTCCAACAGTTTCTGGATCTTGACTGTGTACTATATTCTCTGGAGGTTTTTTTTTGTTTTTGTTTTTTTAAATCACTAGCCAACATCACATTACTCCAATTCCTTGCTATAGTTAATAACTTTTCTTATTGACCTTTTCCTGTTTGAATTACTATGTGGTTTTCCTTTCTGTTGACTACACTGTGACTGATACACCAACCAAAGCCATCTATTTCTGGAGGATTATTAAGACTCCTTGTGCTTTACATTTCCTGATATAGTGGCAGTCCATGTCCTATATCTTTTAAACTAGAACACATTTAGCCATGGATCAATACGCTGGAGATTAACTGCTCCTTTAATGTTCAAAAGTACTTAACTGGGTCTTTTCAAAATTGTTCTAAGGCATTTCTCTTTCTGGTATATTTTCATAAGACAGTTTTTAGTATTAGATCATTTAGAGCCTGTTGCAAGAATGTAAAGAAAGGAAGTTTTACCTATTATTAAAACTGGATATATTGCATAAATCATACAAATAATTTGTGATGTATTGATGAGATAAGCTAGAGTTCAAAATCAGGAGTGCCATATTCAACCTCATGGAGGCAAACTTGCTAGTGAAAGGCATGAGACCTACAAGGTATGGGTATCGTGAACAGGAGGGTCAGAGGTGACTCTGTTGATCAAGGAAGTTCAAGAATGCCAAATACATTTGCTAATGTAGTTTTAAAATGTCATTGATTCTCTTTGCTTTTACTGAGTACTAAGGATGAGAGAAGCAGTAAAATTTCTTAGTAAGTGGTAAGACTTTTCAAATTCATCTGTTAGGAATCCAAGTAAAGTGAAAGTCTCTATCATTGGAGAGACAAGTTGGAATTCCCCAGCTGGGGACACAAAATCAAATGGAAAATTATGCTACCATCATTTATAGTTCTTTGGGAGTGGAAAGCTTTAATTCATCAAAAATAAGTCAGGAAAAAATGCAAACATTTAGAGAAAACCTGTAGCAGGTGAGTGGTTTCTTGAAATCTATTTGAAGATTTTTTTTTTTTAAATATTGGACAATGAGGCTTGGATTATTGCCGTGTTCCATTTTGACACTTTTTCCAGAATGATGCTTGTGATAAATGAGGAGTGCACTAGAAAAAGGCAGTAAGATTAGCAAAATCTCTTCACCAATATTGATGAGGCATAATGGCAAATATTTTGAAAGTTTCTACCTGAAGTCTCTGTCACCTTAAGCAACTCTTATGAATGTACTAGAAATAATCTTCAAGCAAATTTTTTTCCAGTAAATTTTGCAAATTCCAGAGCTGATCAGTGACATTCTATAATAGTATCTTTTTGCAAATCCAATGAATTGACTCTTTGGAGTATTACAGAGGTCATGATCTTAGGGAGGGATCCTTTTTTGACATAATATTCAGCTAACACATTTTAAGAGCTTCCGTGTTATTTTTTCCATATGTAATTCTATCGTTAGGGAATCCTTAAAAGCTTTATTTTAATTGTAGACTATTTTGATGGGTAAAAAAATTTACTGGTTCCACAATGTATTGTATTCTGCAGTCATATTCCAAAATATAACTGACAGCAAGTATAGATTAAATCTTATACATTTCAAAAATTAAGCAATATCTGGTAATTGCAATATGTTCTGATATCTGAGCTGATTTTACTTTTAGTAAAATATCTCACTTTATTGTTACATTGAGAGGTCTTATTCTGCCTACTATTTACTTGTTTCAGCCTTAAGTTATAATCTACCAACAAACAAGGAATGTTTAAATTTTTAAACAGAGAGTTCCAATAAATTGTTTAAAACCATGCTTAGTTCACAACAGAAAGGATAAAAAGTCATGGATTTCCCCTTCTTTAAGTAATAAAAGAACAACAGGATATAATTCATAGCAATGAATAGAAATGTTTCAGAGGCAAACATTATGAAATTTCATAAGAGGTGAGCCTACTTGCTAATAAACGTTTCCTATTTTCAATAATTAACAATAATTGAAAGCATGAAATACCATCAAATATAAGGCACATTTTAAATTCAAAGTTGAAAAATCTCATTGTTTATTTGATGCCGCTATTGCTCATAGAAAATATGGGTAGACACCTGCCACTGGGTTTCTGGAATACCTTTAATAAGAAATTGGTCTGAGATCATTCAAATGAGATTGAGTCTAACCTCCAAGGTCTTGCCCAGAGCACTCATATACAAATATGTATTATGGGTTTACAATAACAAAGAAGATGCAGAGTAGAAATAAAAACTTTAATTAAATCACGCAGTTCTTGTTTCTGTTTAGAGTCACAGGGAAATTTCAGTTAGGAGGTTTCATAAAAATTGGGATTCCATTGCCTAGAATACAAACTGATACTCTTAATAACTTTTTGTTTTTATATTGCTTTATTGAACAATAAGTGATTTACAGTAAACTTCACTTCTGTAAAGTGTACAATTTATTGAGTTTTGAATGTGTATATAGTCATGAAAAAATTTTTTAATTAAGACAATAAAGATATCCATCACCTACAATCCTTTCCTCAAATCCCTGTATAAATTAAATCCTTATTTTCCCTGTCCCCTTCCATACTCTCCACCAAGGTTGGAGACAACTAATAATATTCTTTTTTGTCAATATTTATCAATAATAAATGTACAGACTTTTATATAGAGAATCATATAGTAGATACTCCATTTTGTTTTCTTTGTTTTTCTATAACTTAGCATAATAATTTTGAGATTCATCCTTGAAGTTATATCTGTTGATAGCTTGTTTTCTTTTACAGCTGAGTGGTATTCTGTTTAATCCATTAACTCTGAAAGGTACAATCTGTTAATCCATTACCATGACAGAGATATGGAAAATTAGTTCTTTACTTAAAAGTTCCCGAATTTGCAATTTCTAACACTACCAGAGAGGGGAAAAAAAACAAAGCTGCAACTTGCAGTTTTTCTCAGTCAGTGGAACCTACTGGAGATATGTAAGGAAAATGGTCATCTTTTAGAGGCTGACTTATGATTTCTATGAATTATTTTTTTACCTGCCACATTGTACAGTTTAAGATTTCTCATTATTTCAAATATTGCCATTTCAGCTAGTTGGATTCTGCATGAAAATTTTCAATTTGGATCTGATTTATATGGAGGCCTTTCAATATGAATGCCTTCTTGGAAATTATCCTGTTTCAACTGTCTTAAAGATGGTCAATGAGAAATGTGAGCATATTCAATTATGTGAGTACATTAAGTAGTAGATTTAGTGTGAGTCATAAAGGAGCTGGATTTTTCATAGTCATAGACTTTTTGTTTCCTTTCAGATTACTAATATTAATTAAAATCAATACTTGAAAAGGAATCAAAACTTGCAAAAATAATCTAGTTTAATCAAGATTTCATTTATCAAGACAACTGTATAAACTCAGTAGAAACACTTCAATTTATAAATATTTTCCAATCAATTGAAATATTAAGTCTTAGATGGGGACTTTCTTTTTTTAAAAAAATAAATTTTATTGTGTATATTTGAGGTTTTCAACGTGATGTTTTGGAATATACAGAGATAATAAAATGATTATTGTATTGAAAAAATTAACATCTCTCATCATATACTTAATTTTTCATAACAAGAACAGTAAAATCTACTTATTTAACAAAAATCTCAAATACAAGTTTCATTAAATATAGTCCTCATGTTGTATATTAGATCTCTGGACTTGTTCATCCTATATATCTGTTACTTGATGTTTTCTGATATACATCTCCATTTCTTCCTTCCAGGTCCTGCCCCTTTCCCTGACAACCACGGTTTCATTCTCTGTTTCTTTATATATGAACATGAAAAATAAATTCTACATATAAATGAGATCATGATTTTTGTTTTTTGTTTTTTTCTGTGCCTGATTTATTAACACTTAGGTTGTTTCTATATCGTGGCTATTGTGAATAATGATTAATGAATATTTTGAATAGACTGTAATCTACTGGAAGTATTTACAGTTTTTGATAAATCATGTCCAAATGACCTATTTCTTTTCACAAAATTATAGCTTTCCTGGAAGCTTTGTCTCTTCAAGATAAAAGAATAGCAATATTGATTGAGTCAGTCTTATTACCAATATTCTTCCTGAATATAGATGCAAAAATTCCTATAGAAACAGACAAGTTTCACTTCTGTTTTCCACTATGTCGTTTAAAGAATTTGGAAGTTGTCACTTCTGTCTACCTGAGGAGAAAAAGGTGAACAAACTAAAAATCAAAATTTTTTCTTAGATCCATTAGAGAATTCACGTATGAGGCAAACCATTCCCTTGAAAACTAGTGTCAGCCAGATGCAGAAAATCACAGCTTATCAGGAGCAGGAACAGCAGAAACCAGAAAAAAGTAGGAACACTTAATCCACTAATTGCTGTAAGTGGACAAGCTTTAGTTAAAAACTGCTGAAAGCCCTGTCTCAGAAGTGGTGAGGAGGAAATACTTTTGTGAGTCTTATCCCCAAGAGCTTCACCAGGTACCCACAATGAAGAATGGAGGAAAATATGCTCTACCTTTGGGTAGTAGGAGTTATTTCCACCTTGGAAACAATAAGTACTCTCAGAATGTTTGTTATCCTTACCAAATGCTTTCTGTTAACAAAAATTACTTTATGAGAGTCTTATCGGGCCTAGAAGGAGGATCATTAGACAACTGGAGCCTCGTATAGCATTCCCATCTCACATAATCAAGACCACGGCTCAGGGATTCTGGCACACTTACACAGAAAGAAGAGAGGGAGAGAGAGAGAGAGTGATTTAATCTTAAGATGAATACTTCTTCTCCCTAATACCTAATAGCATATCAACAGCATTCCTGTATAAGAGTAGATTATAACTGAGAGAACTACAAGACACATAATTTACGTAATGAGTTTCTAGGGAAGCCCAAAGACAATAGAGGGAACAAAAACAAGTGAGCCGAAGGAAATAAAAACTATTGACACCTACAGCTACATACGACTACAGCAAAGATTAAATGAAGCCTGCCTTTTAGCCCGATCAAGGCCTGTTTGTCTCTATTTCTACCACATGATACACGGTGTCTGGCTTTCAAAAAATTGCAAGAGGCCGGGCACAGTGGCTCATGCCTGTAACCCTAGCACTTTGGGAGGCTGAGGCGGACGGATCATGAAGTCAAGAGGTTGAGACCAGCCAGGGCAACATAGTGAAACACCATCTCTACTAAACACACAATAAATTTGCTGGGCTTCGTGGCAGGTGCCTGTAATCCCAGCTACTTGGGAGGCTGAGGTATGAGAATCACTTTAACCCAGGAGGCGGAGGTTGCAGTGAGCCGAGATCACGCCACCGCACTCCAGCCTGGGCGACAGTGGGAGACCCCATCTGAAAAAACAAACAAACAAACAAACAAAAAATTGCAAAACATGCTAAAAGGCAAACACATAATCTGAAGAGACAAAGCAAACATCAAAACCAGACTCTTATGTGATACAGATTTTAGAATTATAAAACAGTCAATTGAAAATAATTATTACTAATACATTAAGGATTCTGCTGTAAAAAAATGAAGAAGATGCAAAAGCAAATGGATAATATAAGCAAGACGATAATGAGATAGAAACCCTAGAAGTAAGCAAAAGGAAGTACCATACATTCTGAAACAAAACAAAACAAGCCAGTGTAACAGAAACGAAGAGGTCCTTTTAGGTACTCTATCAGTGTACTAGGTACAGCTTAGGAAAAATTCAGTGATTTTGAAAGTATGTCAATAGAGACCTCGACTGGACGTGGTGGCTCACACCTGTAATCCCAAGCACTTTGGGAGGCCTAGGTGGGTGGATCACTTGTGACCAGAAGTTCAAGACCAACCTGGCCAACATGGTGAAACCCCGCCTCTACTAAAAATACAAAAATTAGCTGGGAGTGGTGGCACGTGCCTGTAATCCCAGCTACTTGGAAGGCTGAGGCAGGAGAATCGCTTGAACCCAGGAGGTGAAGGTTTCAATAAGCCAAGATCGCACCACTGCACTCCAGCCTGGGCGACAGAGCAAGACTCTGTCTCGGAAAAAAAAAAAAAATTAGGTGTCTAAATTATGTGTCACAGGAATACCAAAGGAAGAAGCAAGAGAGACAGAGAGAGAGAAAAAAAAAGCAGAAGTATTTGAATAATAATGGCTGAAATTGTCCAGAATTCTAAGAAACACCAAACCACAAATCCAGAAATCTCAGGGGAAGCCAAACTGTACAAATATAACAAGTTTACACCTAGGCATACAATATTCAAATGGCAGAAACCCAGGCAGAGAGGGAGTGGAGACTTACCTATAGGGAAACAAAAATAAGAATTACGTCATGCTAACCATCCCAACCATGCTAACATCCCAAACCGTGCTCACTAGAAGAGAATGGAGTATTTTAAATGTTAAAAGGAAAACACACATACACACACACCAACGCGCACACACACTTTCACACACACCAGTCTAGAATCCTGTGCTCAAAAAAAAATATTCTTTAAAAGTGAATGAGAAATAGAGCCTCTCAGGCAAACAAAAACTGAGGGAATCTCTCACCTGTTCATCTGACTGCAGTATACATGATCAATCAATCAATCAATCAATCAATCAATAAAATTCACCTAAAAAGTTTTCCAAAGTAGTCACTGTAATTCTAAAGCATTTTTTTTGGTGCAATTACGCCACTTAGAATGTTAAGTCAATGAAATGCAATTATGGTGTAATTAGTCTAAGCTGGAGAAGCCCCAGAGACACGTTTAAAATGAGACAAAACCAAGAAGGTGTGACAAAGGTAATAGCCGATAAATTTTTCCTCCAACTTTTAGCATCCTCATTTCCAGTCCAGCTTTTACATGAAGTCCCACTGTCAGCTTCTCATTTTAGAACAATTTACCATTACCACAAACATCAAAGTTTTAGTTGCTGAATTTGCCCCTCTTGCTGGCCTCTTAGTTCTGTCACTGCTAATACCCATAGCTAAGGTCACCCATGTTGTTAAATGTGTCCGCACCATAGAGGTGCTCATGTGACCAGAGTCTACCAGGTGGTGATTCAGGCTCTCATTCAATCCTGCAAAGAAAGGAGTAGATCCTCGACCTTACATAGCAGGGTCTTAAAATTTATTTCCTTATACATATGTTATTGTATGTTGTTGTAAAGATCCACACAATGGTTGCTGCTGAACATAGTGTCAGTCACACACGAAGAATAGCTTTTGCAAACAGTCAGAAATCCTAATATTAAGTATAACATTCTTGTTTGGATGAACTCTCACTTCTAAGGTACTGTTCTAAAATTAGCTTAATATAGCTACTCCCTGTGACTGTGCATTTGACAGCCAACTTTCCAAATATTTCAATAAGTAAAAGTAAAATCAATTAAAATCATACACCTAGAGACTTGGCATATCAATGTCATTACAATTGCATCAAGAAATTTTATACAGGAAAAATTATCATTTAGAATAAAATCTATTATTCATGTCAAATGGGATGACACTTTCAGTCACTCACAGTACAATCGTGTATTAATTTCTGTACAAATGACAGGTACTAACCTTTCTGATAAGAAGATGAAGGTGAAAATTTCTTGTTGCACACAAAGAGAGTATGGCACATTTTAGGAGCCAGATACATAAACCATCCATCATAATGCTATCTAATAAGAACAGTTTCTATAGCACAGTAAAAATTAAATAGGACTATCAGGTAAAAATAAATGAATCTTTTATTTTGGAGAGAGTTGGGAAGGATGAAGTGAAATATAGTGTGGTTACTATTTCACAGGGTAAGTAATTTTTACTAAAGTGTAACTTGAATGCTAGGTAAAGTATGCAAAAACTAGTAGAATTCTCTTTTGAAATATGCCAGAAGAAGAAAGCACAGAGAATGTTCAGGCACCAGTATGATTTAGTTGGTGAGCAGGATATTTGTGATGCACCACCGTTTAAGCAGGAAAGGAAGATCTAGTTCCCTCAAAATCCAGCATCCTAAAAAAAATTGACTCAGTTTCTGTATGGCATTGTCATTCAGACTTAATGGTCCTGAAATTTACCACTCTGTTTTAGATATGAACTTTCTTCTGGAACATAGAGTTTCCTGGCATTTTTAATTTAAAAAAAAAATTTTTTTATTGGTTTAAAACAGAGAACTCCACTCATATATTAATATTTTGTCTAAACCTTTGTGTTATTCAATTTTAATTTATTCTGAAAGAACTGGGGTATACATAGAATTATGAAGAGTTAAAAAAAAAAAAAGCACTCAGTTTAAGACATTAAACATAGCTGGAAGAACCCTGTTACCTCCTTGCTCAAACTCTCCAATCTAAAAGTGATAACTAACCTGAATTTGGCATTTATTATTATCGTGTTAAGAGGCTGAATTGTGTTCCCTCAAAATTTACACATTTGAGTTGTAACCCTCAGCTCCTCTCAATGTGACCTTATCGTTATTTGGAGAAAAGGTCTTCACAGAGGTAAGCAAGTTAAAGTCATTAGGGTGACCATCCAATATGAATGATGTCTTTTATACAAAGAAAAAATGTGGACACAGAGGGTTTCATAGAGGGGAGACTGTGTCCAGGGACACGGGGAGAAGACAGCACTCTAAAAACCAAGAAGAAAGCGACCTGGAACACATTCTTCCCCCACAGTCCTCAGAAGAAAGATACCTTGCTGACACCCTGATCTTGAACTTCTATCCTATAGAATTGTGAAAAAAAAAAAAAAAGAAGAAAAAAGAAACATAAATACATTTATGTTGCTTAAGCCACCCAGTCTGTGGTACTTTGTTATGGCAGCCCTAGCAGACTAATACATCTTATATGTCTATTTTGTTATGCATGCTATTATCAA